CTTCTTTGGGATGGGAACAAATATAGACCTCTTCCAGTTAGTTGGCCAAGTGGTTGTTCTCCAGATTTCTTGGCACAACTTGGTGGGCATATCCATGGCAGCATCTGTTAGCTGAAACATACCAATTGGTATACCATCTATTCCAGGGGCCTTATTTTTTGCTATTTCCTTCAAAGCAGCTTGAACTTCTGCCTCCATTATCATAGGCTCTGGCTCAAATGCTATTCCATTAAATTCTTCTGTATCTGCCAATTCCCTTCGATACAATGAGTCCATATATTCTTTCCATCTTCTTTTGATACCTCTTGGATCATTTAACATTCTGCCTAAAGCATCTTTGATTGTAGCAACTCGAGGTTTGAATTTGTTCTTCAGTTCCTTGAGCTTAAGAAATACTGAACGAGTTTGGCCCCTTTGATTTTCCGACTCTAGCTCCTCGCACATTTCATTGTAGTATTTTGCTTTGTTATTCCGTGCTGCCTTTTGGAATCTTCTGTTCAGCTCTTTGGTCTTGGATTCTTCCTTGTGCTTTGGCTTCTCTATGTTCCAGTGCAATCTTCAGAGTATCTTCTGACATCCATTTTGGTCTTTTCTTCCTCTTCTGTCTTTGTAATGACCGCCTGCACTCTTTCTGGATGATACATTTAACATCCTCCCACAACTCATCTGGTCTTCGCTCATTAGTGTTTAAGGCCTCAAATATTTAAAAAAAAAAAAGAGCTCAGTTTTCTTTAAGAATGATTCTTTACTCTGGATGCACATTTACATTAGTAAGAACTGCTTTTAAATAAATACTGAGCTGTCCAAAGCTTAATGAAATTAGAATATGATGGATGGTATGGTACTCTGGACAGATTGAGTTGTTGAAAAGTATTAGTTTTTCCAGCTTGGAGACAAAACGATTGTTTTAGAGAAACTGAAAATGTACAATACAGACTGAATAATTAGAATAACTTATTTGAGGAAGGTGCTTTAGAACTTTAGTCAGAAAACTACTCAGAAATAAAAGACCATGGAAAGTTTGTGAATATTATTTCTGTATTTTGGATTAATAACAAGTTATAAATAATTTTTTTAAAAGGTACTCTGGTGGCCTAGGGGATAAAGAGTTGCAATGCCAACCCAAAGGTGGGTGGTTCAAATCCACTAGCTACTCTGAGGGAGTAAATAGACAATCTCCTCTATGAAGTTAAGAACCTCTGAAGACCCTCTAGAGGATCAGTTCTAATGGCACATAACAAGAACATTTTTACAAATTATATTTTAATTTATCTAAAATTTGTAGTTCTTAAAATATTTAAGTTTGTGTTGGAAAAGAAAACTGGACTTACCTTTTAAAGCCAAGAATTTAAAACATGCATTAAAGCAATAACTTCACATTTGTTACCTTATCTGTTATTTACATAAAGTGAAATATATATAGCTCTTCAGTGGAATCTTCTGCTTTTGCTCTCAAGACACATTCAAAAAACAGCATCACTGGAGGTGATTTACTGCTAATGATGGGTGCCCCATCTCAGCAGACACAGAACCCTGATCTGTTACTCACCTTTCTCACAGGTGAGTGAGTCTGGAATGAGTGGTGACCAGGAATCCTCACTGCACGTGTACTTTGATGGCCCAGAAATGACGGAGCCTTTGGGGCAGGACAATGTAATGGAATCACCAATATTATATACACTCTCAAAGGGTGAGATTGTGAGGACTTCCTGCAGAACTGGTTTGAGGCATCCTATTCCTGCAGGAGGAGAAACATTTCACATGTGGAACACTGGTGTAGAGGATGGGAGAAAATACTAGTAGGTTTCATATAACCAAAGAGCTGATTGTAGTGTCTGCTTCTAATTGGAAAACCTGAAGTTTGGATATTTATCGGTGGTGCGAATTATAAACTGCTTGGCAACTAGCCAAAAGCCTGGTGGTTTGAACATATTCAGAGATGCTTTGAATCCCTGGCTTGGCTACTTGTTTCCAAAGGCCCACGGCCCTGTACCCCCTCAGGAGCAATTCTTGAGGTTACCATGAGTTGCAACTGATTCTATGAGACATAACAATCACAACGAGGATCCCGCGACTCTCCTCAGGGGTTTCCCCATTAGGGGTTGTCTTTAGTTCCATTATCTGAGGGTCTCTTTCTAAGGAAAACTCAAAACAAAAGCAGCTTCTCTTTACACAACTGAGGGTTTTTTGTTTTTTTTTTAAGGAAATGAACGTTTTCCCTCTTTGCACTAATGGGTTTCCTCAAAAACAAGTCACTGCATTTTGGGTGATGGACAGAATTAAATTAGTCTAATTGGCTTGGGTCACAACTCTGCTTCACAGTACCCATAATAACTTTGGGAACCCTTAATTGAGCTTCTTTAAATTGCGTTCTTTATTTATTGTAACATGGGTATGTGTAAAACCTGCAGACTCATGTAACAATAACATGAGCCCAAGATCCTCCTGAGAGAAGAGTTCACTTTTAATCAGAAAAAATATGCTCCTTGGAGAAGTGCTTTGGAGAAAGTTGGATTTAATGAAAAAGTCCTCTTACTGATCCATATAGAGTCTAAGTTTCATCTTCTTGGGATTCATCAATTTGTATCAATTTGTGCAGCAGGCAAAGCAGATGTCTGTGGTTATATGTGGTTTGCACACTTCCTGGATTTCTTTTTAAGAGCATACTTCACAGGCTTATGAGTATGAGGCTAAAAGACAGGGACAGGAGAACTGAAATATGAAGATATTTTGAAATCTAATTTTAGCAAAGGAGTCCTATTTTCTGCTTCACTAAATCTTTCACCAGAGTTACTGAGGGAAAAATATTGTAAAATGTACTGATCTAAGGGGAACGAGTGTGCTGTTTATATTGGGCACATCCATTCTTTGGAGTAGTCAGGCCAAATGTAGCCCAGGCTCTCACGTTTGCACTGCACGTCTTCTTGCCTCCAGGTCTGGTCTGGTAAGCATCTGAAGTACTGGTATCCAACAGTTTCGAATCCAGTAAAGCAGAAGATTTCTACTTCTTCCCCAACTTTGTACACTTTCTTTTCATTCTAGAATTTAAACAGAAACCAGAAAACTATTAATGCTGTGAATGGAGAACTTAAAACACTTCATGCTCATTGTGGGTTTCCCCCATGTCTTCCCTCCTGATGGCCACAGAGTGCTGTCAAATTTGAATTCTAATATATTCCTCACACTCTCTTTTGGGATCACTACTTCAAGCCGTGATGCCAGAGAAGAGTCTTGAACATACCATGGACCACCAAGAGAGCAAATAAGTCTGTCTTGGGAATGATGAAACCAAGTTGCTCCTTGCAGGCAAGGATTTTGAAGCTCCATCCCACGTACTTTGGGCACGTGGCCAGGAGGAACCAGTCCTTGAAGAAGAATATCATAGTTGAAAGGGTGGAGGGTACAGTGCAGGAGAGGAGACCCCGGATGAGATGGATTGACATATCAACTGGTATAATGGGGGTAGGTGTGTCAGAAACAGTGAGACTGGCTCAGAATAGGGCAGGGATCAGAGTTATTATACACTGGGTTGCTATGAGTTGCAGGTAATAACTCAATGGCACATAACAACAACAGCTACAACTGGTAAGGAGCTGTGCTGCAATTCTGAGGGCACACGGTTTGAACCCACCAAGTGCCCCATGGGAGAAAGATGAACAATTGGCACAGTCTGATTTACTGCCTCAGAAACCCCACTACAGGGTCAGCTGTGAGTTGGTTCTGACTCGATGGTACATACAACAAAAATAACTGTCTTTGTTCAGGCTATTTATTATCTCTTACCAGGAAAACTTTCAACCTGATCTATCTTATTAATCTTACATTTCTCATCCATCCTCCTTTACTGCTGCTCTAAATTGATGAAATAATTTTACTTTAAGTTTAGCATTCTACCTGCTTTGAATTGAATTATGTGATACCAAAAGATAGGCCTCGGTTCTAAACTCTGTACCCTGTGAATGTGAACCTGTTTGGAAATAAACTATTTGAAAATGTAATTATAGAAAATTTGTGTAAATTTATCCCAGAATAGCTAGACTGCACTCTTACATTGTTGTTGCTGCTGTTGTTGATGTTGAGTACCACAGAGTTGGAACCGACCCATAGCTGCCTCTCAAGTAGGTTTACAGAGGCAGTTAATCACATGGCAGGAGATTACCCATCTTTTCCCCGTGGAGCAGCTGGTGGCCTTGGATTGTAGCACAGCCTCTTGCCACTGGACCACCAGAACTCCCTAAAGAAATCTGTAACTTCCTGTAATCAATTAGTTGTGGCCTCCATTGCACTCGGACTAGCCAGTCTTACATTAGTGGTGTCGTAATTACTAAAGAGAACTGATACATACAGAAAGAGAGATGAGGGTGGTCTGAAGATGCATCCACAAGTCAAGGAATGCCAAAGATTTCTGACTAACACTGAAAGTGAAGAGATGGGTGTGAAACAGACTCTTTCTCTGAAACCTCAGAAGACATCAACATGTGGACTCAAAAGTATAAGGCAAAATGGTCCTGTCCTGTTGAACTACTGAATTGTGGTATTATGTTACTGGAATTGCAGTAAATGAATACATCACTGAATATAGCATGATCTTGCCCTGTATATCTCAACTTTTATTTCATGAACATGGAAACTATGTATCTAGTAAGTGGTATCTATTAATGGACTAAGTGACATATTTTACATGCATAGGAAGCCTTGTGGCCTAGTGGTAAGAAGTTGCACCACCAGTCCAAAGGTAGGCAGTTCTAATGCACAAGTTGAGCCCAGGGAGAAAGGTGGACAATCTTCTTCCATGTGACTTAAGCCTTTAAAAATCCACTGAAGGGGCAACGGTGAGTCATTTTGGATTCAATGGCACAAACATCAAAACCAATATGTACAGAAAATACACAGAGTTGCTATCATGATTGTTTAATCCATTAAAATGTTATTTATTAGAAATCTATTGAAGGTTAGGTATTATCTCAGTTAATGGCTAAAGTAAAGCTACTGTCATTTTGAGGCTTATAAAAATGCAGTGTAAGGCAAATATTACTTATTGTTGCTGCTATTAGGTACCATAAAGTTGATTACAATTGATAGTAACCTTATAAATGACAGATCTGAACCTTGGCCTATCCTGTGCCTTCCTCATGATATCCACCATTCTCAAGTTCATTGTTACAGTCACTATGTCAGTCTATCTTGATGAGGGTCTTCCTCTCTTCCACGGACCCTCTAGCCTTCTCAGCATGTTGTGTTTCTCCGATGAATCTTACATAGGTTAGAACATTCTAGTCTGTTTTCCTCTCTAAATTTCCCTTCACCATTTCCTCCAGTAAAACATTTGTTCTGTTACACTGGCAGATTATAATTAATGTGATAAACCAGAAAATACAAAAATTGTTTAGTGGAAAATGAATTTTATCTGTAACTTTCATCCAAATCACAATAAGCAACAAAATAAAAGAACATATGCTGTACACACACACACACAAAAAAAAAAAAATAAACCCACAAGCTATTTTTTATCATGTTGTTCTCTTTCATGTTTCTATGCCTTTATCTGATCTTCCTTCTACCCTTATTATCTTTTCTTTTCCAGGCCTGACAAAATTATTCCATTGTGAAAACCACCATGACATTCTAACTTAATGAGGTAAATGACATTTAACTTTGGTAATAACTTGTGCAAAGCTTTGTCAAAATTTAATTATTTTTATTTTATATTGGTTGTACACAAAATTCATATAGATTGTGTTTAGTTTCTAAAGATTGTGTTTTGTTTATATGCATTGTTTTTCACACATTCTTCTATTCACTTTGTGTTTCATACAATCATTTTATACATTGTAATTTATAAAATTAATCATCAATGATCCATGACCCCCATTACCCAAACTTTTCAGGTCCCCACTTTCATAAAGGAAGGCATTCGATGGCCAACAGACATGTGAAGAAATGATCAAAATCATTGGCAATAAGAGAGATACAAGAGTGCAACGAGATACCATCTCACCCCAGTAGCAGTGGCAAAGTACAACAGCACAACAGATAACGAATGTTGGAGAAGGTATGGAGAAATTGAAACTCCCACACATTTTTGTTATGGTTGTAAAATGGTAAGACTACTCTGATAGTTTTGAGAAATGTCCTCAAAAAGCTAAACACAGAAATTCCATATGACTCAGCTATATACCACTACTAGGAATATACCCATGTAAAATAGAGCTGAGATATAAACAGAGATTTGTATACCAATGTTCACAGCAGCATTATTCACAATAGCAAGAACCTGGAAACAGAGCAAATGGTCATCAACAAATGACTAGACTGAGAAACTGTGGTACATTCACTTGGTGGAATTCTATGTAGCACTTAGGAACAATGATTTTGCAAAATGCTATAAAGTATGGGAGAGGCTAGAGAACATTATGCTTGGTGAACTAACTCAGACGCATAAAAACGAAGACTGTATAGGACCATTACTGTAAAGTCAGAAGGATAACCAGTGAAATCTTTATGGACAAATAAAGAGGGAAGGGAAGGAGGCAGGGAGGGGGCTGAGGGTGGAGAGGTGGAAAACCATGGGGTAAAAGAGTTCAGTGGGTGTAAGGAGGAGTTAGGAAAAAAGTATGCGAATGAAGCATAATAAAAAAACCCTTTCAAACAGAGAAAGTAATGCAATGCTCTTTTCCCTTACTGAGAAGAAAAGAATAGAAATAACTGACTAGAAAGCTCTTTCCTTGGTATTGAAGTAGAGCATTTTGGAGCAGGTGTCAGCTCAGCCATCAATTTCTTTTTACTAACTAATCACATGATTCAACTTTTCCTCTCGACTATTCATAATTTCTTGAATGATTCAAGATTATCCTGTCTAATAGCCTAGCAGTAAGAAACTGAACTACAATCCCAAAGGCACGTGGTTCAAATATATCAGCTGCTCCTGGGAGGAGGATAGACAACCTCCTCGTCTGACTGACTGCCTCTGAAAACCCAGTGCAGTCAGATATAAGTCAGTTCTGACTTGACAGTGCACAACAAGAAAAACCATATTGGTTATTATTGGCTTTGTATCAAAGGGGAAATGGAATGATGAATAATATTTATGAGTGATATGCTTTACCAAAAGTCTGATTTTTTTTTCCCTTGCACTCTTCATGAAATTAAGAGTTACCTTAACCTTCCATTTCCATTTCTCTTAGGATTAGCTAAGAGTATGCAATCTGATAGTCTGAACAAAAAAATATAGCAATTTACTTAAGTGCATTTCCCAATAGGGTTGGAATTTGTGTCTTAATAAATTAAAAAAAAAATCCCCCACAGTCGACACTCTTGGGACCAGTAGCCAGGAAATTAAAAGGCGTATTGCCATTGGAAAGTCTGCTGTTAGGGGCCTCTCCAAAATTAAAAAAAAAATCCCCCACAGTCGACACTCTTGGGACCAGTAGCCAGGAAATTAAAAGGCGTATTGCCATTGGAAAGTCTGCTGTTAGGGGCCTCTCCAAAGTACTGAAGAGCAATGGTGTCTCTCTGGAGATACAGGCCATGGTCTTTGCAATCACTTGTTATGCATCAGAGAGTTGGACAATGACCAAGGAGGGAAGGAGAATTGATGCCTTTGAGCTGTGGTGCTGGAGAAGAGTATTGAGAGTACTATGGACTGCTAGGAAAACAAACAGATTCATCCTGGAGAGGGTTAAACTGGGTGGCTCCTTGGAGGCAAGGATTCTAAGGCTCCGTCTAACATACTTTGGACATGTTGTAAGGCGGGACTTGGAGAGGGACATCATGCTTGGGAGGGTGGAGGGACAGCGCAGGAGGGGAAGGCCCTCTATGAGGTGGATTGATTCAGTGACTGGGGTAATCGGGATGGGAGTGTCGGAGACAGTGTGACTGGCACAGGACAAAGCAGAGTTTAGGGCTGTTGTGCATAGTGTAGCTATGAGTTGCAAGCGACTTGACAGCACATAATAACAACAACAACAAATTATCAAACGATGACTCTAGCCTGGAATTAGACCTACTTGCTTTGTTTGATTTCATATGAAAACATTTT